CCCCAAAACCCCAAAACCCCAAAACCCCAAAACCCCTAATTTTTAAATAAATTTGAATTTAGAAGAAATAATAAAAAGTGATGGAAAACGACGAGGAACTCAAACATTCAGAGTTGGTAGACCAACAAGATGAGGATCACGAGATTGACGATGGAGAGGGCGAAGGCCTAGACATGGAAGGAGAGGGATATACTCAAGATGAGTTTGATGACCAGCCAGATGAGTATCAGCAGCAAGATCTCGATCAGAACGAGGAGTATCAGCAACAAACTGGTATTCATTTTTATCCACAACAAAACCAGATGGTAAATCCTGCCTTTGGTGGTGCTCTCAGACCTGTTTCAGCCAATGTCTTGAAGGGAGCTGGCCGCAAAAAGTTTAATCAGAAAGATTACAGCAGAGATTTTGACGTGAGGACTAGACCTAAAAATTTTGTCAAAGATCGGGAAGGCCTCTACGAGGATGCTATTAAATTCAAAAAAGCTAATAATAATCTAAAATAAAGAGAACACTAAGCTCAAGACTACCGTCAGAAAACTAGAAAGTGAGCTGATGGCCCAACAAAGAGAAATGGATGAATATATATTTAACCAAAACCAAGGCAGGCTTGACTTCAATCCTAGGTAAGTTTTCAGCAATATATAACTCTAGATATTCTGATGGAATGAACAGCTCCTACATGAAACGGCCAAACTCAAATCTGATTCAGAACTTAAAGGCCCAAGTGAAAGAACTAAGGACGGATATAAAGAAGAAGGAGGAAGAGGTCCTAAAAATCAAAAGAACACTCAAAGCCACAAATATTCAGGAACTAGAAGTAGAAATGAAGTTATATGTTGATGAATGAACAAGGCTTAGACATATGCTCGAAGAGAAAATGATGGAGTAAGACCTACCTTTTAAATCTATAGAACTAACCAAATTGACCCAGCTGAGCTTCAGAAGTTACAAGAGCAATTCCAAATGCAGGATAATTATTTGGTGAATCTGCAAAACGAAAACCAGGAGTTGGCTGAGACGTGTGCCAAGATGCAGCAAATCATGCAACAGCAGCAGGATGATAAAGGCAAGGATTCTAAATTAAAATCGAAGTTAAAGAAAATCACTGCTAACAAGAATAAATTATCTAAGAATTTAAAATCAAAAGAGAGGGAATTGAGGCAACTCAAAGTTGACCTAAGCACCGCCAAGCAGCTATCTAAAGGGGATACTAGTGTTGTAAAGTCCATGCAAGAACAAATTTCACAGCTCAAGAAAGATCATAAGAGTCAGGAAAAGATTCTAAATAATCTTCGACAGGATAACCAGAACAAGGATAATATTATCCAGTCGTTGACTGAGCAGATCAGGAAGATGGAAGAGAACCCATCTCAACCTGCTAGAGTAGAGTCTAATACTTATTCACAGAATGTTTATGAAAATACAGCTTATCAGCAGCCTAAAAATGAAGAGCGGAAATCTGAAAATACTGAGAGTGACCACCAAGATGACGATGATGATGACTATAAAGATGACAGCTACGAAGACCCACAGGAGTCAAACATTGTTGAAGACACCCAGCCTCATGGAGAAGTGGATAACAAAGATGAAGAAATTAAGGGAGAGACTAAGAGCATCATCAGTGAAATCGAAGTCGACCCTCTTTTTGAGAAAGTCCAACTCATATTGCAGAGAAAAGGGATTGAGTATAATAAAATGGGCGAGATGTTACCTAAGCCAGTGACTATTATATCTCTCGAGCATAAGCTCAAGTCTATGGGCCTCAAAGACCCTGAGGAAAGACTTGCCATTAGTAGGTATATCGTAGAGCCACGGGACGAAAGAAAAGTAGAATTTAATGAAAATAGAGAGATATCTAACTCGAATGCAGAGAATATCCTCAAATCAAAAATAGATGCTTATACTGTATTTAAAAATGATGAGGAAGAATATAAGAAAAGAGTCCGGCAGCAAATTGGGAGGTATACTAGCACTCTTACAGATGCTCTAGAGTGAGAAGACCTCGATGGGACAGGATATATGCCTGCAAATGCCTTGAAAGGATGCTTCCATGCAATGGATATCAACCTAGATAATGATCTTATTGAATATTTGATATATCTCTCTGGAGTTTTGGAAAAGATTGGATCATCTAATCATCTCATGCTTGAATATTCTAAAATTGTAGAACTAGCAGAGAAGCAAGATTCAGAAGAATCATCAAAACCACAGAAAGATGACAGAAAGTCAACAGATTTGCTTGGGGATGATTACTCAGATGGCTATGGAGATGACTTCGAAGATGACAAGCACGACCAGACCGGTGCTTCACAAGGCGTTGATGACTCTAAAGACCAAGAACTTAAGAAACTCATTGCTACTGACGATAAAGACCCCGAAGTTGAAACTGACAAGAGCAAAGACCAACATGACTCACAAGATGAAGATGCTGAAATTGATGATGAACAGATGATCACGATTGCAGAGAACTGTCTGATCAGGATTGCTGAAGAACTCCTCAACAAAGACATGACAGTCCGTCAGCTGTTCGAAGGCGAAATCTTAGCAGAAGAAATTGAAGGCCAGAAAATTGAGTTGTTGTTCCCGACGAGTTTCTTGGATGGAATCCAGAAGCTTGGCATCACAGACTTCTCCGACTTAGAAAATGCCTGACTCATGAATGTTCTTGCAAAGCCACAGCTTGAAAATACAATTTTGTTGGACGAACTCATCGATATCATGGAGAACCTGGGCATTCCAGATGGAGAAGGCGGTCAGGTTCAGCAAGATCTGGGTGCACAGGAGTCAGTTGAGCCAGACCAAGAAGCATCGAAGCCTACAGAATCAGGGAAGCAGAAGAAGAAAGGAGTCGATTTAGACGGACTGTCTGATGACTCTAAGAACCTTCTGCTTAACTTCGTCATCTTTCTAGAATCTGAAAGCATGACTGCTGCAAACTTTTTCCAAGAAGTAAAATACGAACAAATGATTAAAACAAAGAAGAACAAACAGAGTAGTGTAGACATCGTTCCTGCTGATGATTTCTTCAGACTTATGGAAGAGAACTATGAAATAGTCTCTGATGTGAACCTTACAGAGGAAGTCAAGAAAGAACTGCAAGAAATATTGTGATTAGATTCTAACTACAAGGAGTTGCTCTTCATGAAGAAGATAGATAAAGCGCTGAACGAGATTAAAAATATATCTTAACTTGAATAATTTATCAATTCTTGGTAGAAATGATGGGGTTTTGGGGTTTTGGGGTTTTGGGGTTTTGGGGTTTTGGGG